TGCAGCTCAGCGGGATGCGCACAGGGCCTGGAGCCGCCCGTCTGAGCTGGCTCCGGCTTCCAGGGCGCAGTGAGTGCAGTGCACTGGCTCCCAGCTCTGACTCGCACCTCCCAGGTGGAAGAGGAGAGCGGAGAACACCCCTGTTAGGGTCTAGAGGTGAAGCTAAGGGAAATGCAGGTACGGAGAGTACCACTGGCTTTCCTGGACCAGATTTCTCAAGCCTGTCTGCTGCCTTAGAGTGGTCACCACTATCTGGCACAGTGGGAGAAGAGCTCCTGGAAATCTCCTTAAAGGACTTGGCTTTGCAACCAGGAGCCTTCAAAGGGTTAAGAGCAGCAGCTTCGGGGAGCAGTGGCCCCCTGCCAGCCTGCAGCATATTTCACAGCGCACCATTCCCATCTGTTGGAAACAGAATATAGCCTGCAAAAGACAGCACCATTTGGTGAACTGCCTATTGCAGACCACAATTTGGGAAAAGACTTCCAAGCTTTCCAGAGACTCGAGCAGTCCCAGGCAGCTCCTAGCAGCCATATGGCTCCTGCAGCTCTCCCTGGCAGGGGTGGTGAAAGCGTCACTGCTGCTGAGCTTGGCAAAGCCTGCGATGTGCCTGGGTGAACCCAGAGCATGCGCTGGCCTCAAGCACCTTCCCGGGTCCCTCTGGAGCCCTGCAGGACACACACTGGTGTGGCCAGTGAAAGCCAGGGAAGGGAAGAGCAGCGTGGGAACGTGTGCGTTGAAACCTGCTCAAGATCACTGTTCTCTTCAAAGTTATTTTACCAACTAATCCACTCCACTATGACACAGTCAGTGAATCCACTCAAGTGACATAGCTCTTCATTTGAAGCAAAGGCCACCCTCTAGTCCCTTTTGTGTTCAAATTCATGCCACCAATATGAAGGTGGCAATAAATAACAATAGAGTTTATTATTAACAGTATGAGCATAGGACGTAACATCCATCCCGGTAGCTTCTGCTGACCAGCCTTTAAGGATATCACCATCCTTCATCCAGCCAGACTGATTTCAACTTCTGCTAACCAAATCGGTTCATTATTGCCCTATATAATTTTTACTGCTTTTTCTTCCAAGTGTTTTCTGGCTTCACACAGATGTGGAGTGACTTTGGTATTTTGTTTGAGAAAGCTGCCTGGTTGATGAGAAGTTACTCCAATTACTACCCACGTATTAAACAGTGCAAAATAGCACTTTTTTTTTTTTTTGGTCATACAAGAAGTTGTCGAGCAAGTCTGCTTGGTGATTTGGTCAAAAACACATGTCACATCACAACAGCAAAGGTTGCTTTGAAACTCCCATGACAAAGTATCATCACCTTTTTCTGCAAGAGAAGCCACTCGGGTCTTGAACATGATCCAAGCCTCAGTTTCAGTGTATTTGCTCCCTCTAGTGTCTACAGCATCCCATGCTCTTTTTGCTTTTTAAAATGAGTCACCCAAATCCCTCTCTGAGTTGGATGTTTAACCACAGCTTCACCTCAAAGACTTCAAGAGGTTTTCACTTGTGTTTTAACACAAATTTGTGCAGCTACTAACATGAGCCCCTCTCATCTCTAGGGGTTCCCATGGGGGTTTATTGCTTATTTAGCTTACGACTAATTAATAGATTCACTCCTGTGCAGCTGCCCTTCGAACTGTTGGCCCTGCTCTGTGTCCCGGAGCAGGTCGTACAGTTGACTTACGGTGAAGTGCCTGTTCTGCAGCACTGGATGCACTGAGCATGATGTGGAGCACAGGGCTCCCAGGGACTAGGGCAGCAGAGCCCTCTGCTCATTTCTGGCTGATGGCTCCTAGCCTCTGAGCTTTTACAGTTTACATCCTCAGGACAGCCCGGATCCATTTGGGAGCTAAGTTTCTCCCCTCACCTTTGTCTCCCTCAGGAAATCACACCCACATGGGGTGATGAAATAGGGCAGTGTCTTTGGGGGAATCGCATCAAAGGCATGAACAGGTAGCACAAGGAGAGGACGAGGTGTGCTCGAGGCAGGGATCCGTCCTGTGGCAGGGAGCGAGGCCAGCAAGGACGCAGCCTTTCCAGCACACTTGGGTGGCAGGGCGCAGCGCCGTGGGCTTGGCACAGCGGCACCAGCTCTGCCCAAACAGCCACAGCCCATGGCAGAGGGTGCCAGCCCTCCTGGGCTTTCTGGAGCTGGTAGTTGTTAGGTTGAATCTGGACGGGGAGCTTTTCCCTGGAGCTCTCGGTGCCAGATAGTCTGTGTTACCGGGGAGCAGGCTGAGAACAGCATATAATTTTTCCTGGGTTTGGAGGGCTCTGATCTTTTGCCAACTTGCTGGCAGTGCTGCTGCAGTTTCCTTCCAGCCCTGATGAAGACTGAGCATCTTTTCAGCCCTACAGGTATGCTGAAGAAGGATGGTGTCTTCAGAAAAGCAGAAGTAGGTATTTTGTGGCAAAGGTCCATGCATGGCAGAAGTGCACAGAGTAGAGAAGGATGATTTCCCAGATACTTCTGTTGAAAATCAGGCCAGGGTTCTCCTCAGAGCCTGCTGCTGCCCACAGACAAGCCTAGGCCTTTCTCTTGGACTCAGGGGAGCGAAGGGCAGGGACCACAGGCTCACCTGAGCTTGGTGCCTCCAGCTCGGTGTACTGGTGAGAGGAATGCTGGTGAGGGTGCAAGTTCCCGAGACAGAGATGCAATTGCTCTTCATGACACCTTACGGGTTTGCAGCCTGGGGGAATTACAGCGTGCCTTAAGCAACTATTCATGTATCAAACTGATAACATAATTTGTCTGCGGGAGCTTTGAAGCATCGCTTGAAGGCTCTTCTGAAAGTGCTTGTTTAACGATGTGATGCAGAAAAAAGACTGGGTTTTGTTTCCATTACAGAGTTCCACTTGCAGTGCCAAGTCCTGGCTGGGGACCATTGTCAAGTGTCACTCGGCCTGTGCTGCTTCCAGCCTTGGGTGGGCAGAAACAGCCTCCTTCCAAAAGCAGCAGCCAGGAAATGGCTGCAAAGTGACACAACAGAAACCGATTAGTCCTTCTGTGGCATCACAGTTTTAACAAACTTAACTAACTTGGACATCCTTCAAACGCCTGCGCCACACTCCACCCTGATGAACACTTTAAATTAAAAAATAAAGCTTTTTAAAGCTATAGGAAGAACTAGCTAGGTACAGGACGCACCTCATGCTGTCAGCACCCCAGCCTGGATGTGCGTGGGCTCCTGCTTGTTCCGACGTGCCCTGTGAGCACAGGCTTTGCCTCGTGGCTCGTAACCAACAGAAACGGGAGGAGAGGGGTCAGCAGTGCCCACGGAAGAAGAAACTGCAGGTGGCTTTTCATCTGGCAAGTCAGGCTGATACAGGGAGAGCTCCCCTCTCCTGCTGCCACCAGCGGGGCCACCAAGGCCTGGGGGGAGTCTGACCGGCCGTGGCTGTCACCAAACCTGCTGCGCTTGGCAGGACGTGCTGGTACCCAACCTAGCTACTGCGAGGGTGCCTGGACCTGCCCGCAGCACGAGGCGCTCCTGCCAGGGGGGTTCGCAAAGCAGTTTCGCTTGGCTTTACTCTCCCGCAGCAGGAAGGGAAATCCCTGCCTGCTTCCAGGGGACAAGGTTCCGGCGGGGCCAGCTGGAACCTCCCAATCTCCCTTCCCGCGTGTCACCAGAGCCTGCGGGAGGGTGGTCACTGCTGCCTCCTCCGCTTTGGAGCGCTGTGTTAGAAATGCGCTACAAATGGCGCCCAGAAAACCCCCAAAGGTCAAAAAGTTCTATTAAAACTCAACCACAAAACAGCT